TTGGAAAGTGTTTTTGGTTTGGAAACGTTCGATAACAATTTGAACGGTTTTCGAAAACACGTGGTTCTCAAGGTATATGCAGTATTTTGCAGAGTTATAAATAGCAAGAATGGAAGGGAGGTATAGGTGAAGGTGTAACCAGAAGGTGAAACGCGATGGAATTCAGTATCTACGATACTGACCAGTATCTATGATAATGGGGACGGCCTGATAAAGTGTCTTTGATCAGGCGATACGTGTGTGTGCCAGTAAATAAATTCGAAATATCAATTTTAAAAAAAATATATTCCACGGCATTTTCAATAGAAAATAGATCGGTCCACGCATCCATATCGATTTTCTTATCGGATGCCGCGTTTCCATCTAATATCTACTAATATTAACGTGCATTATTCAACGACAAGTAACGAAACACCCGCAATTCCATTTGCCACCCGATCGAATGACGCGAATTTTCCCCGCGGTATGTATTGTTGGAAAGCGTGAAAGCACGCGTAAAAGACGAGGACGCCGGCGAATCCGAGAACTTTGCTCCGCTGCAAATCGACTTGTCACGAAATCCTATTGCCGCCCCCTGCATGTTTCCAGCGTTCTTCTCGTTTTCTTCTACCCCCCCACCTCCCCGTGAAACCCGATAAAACCTCGTTCGACGGCGTGCTCAAATTTTCGAGACGCTTAGCCCCGTGATCCTTGGCCCCGGATCAATCGGATTTTTCGTCCAACAAATTCGCTTTTACTCACCGTGATTATTATACTCGAGCATGCATACACGATAGAAATATGTTGAGATACGTATTTAAGATAAGGGTAAAGAATATGATACTTTTATATTATATGTATACGATTGGTTCGTTTTGAAGTTGGTTCGTTTCATTCCGATAACTCAATTAATAATAACTCAAAAAATAATAAAGAGGAAATCTATCGCGAAATCTATCGAGAATGTTTCAACTCGATAGCTCAATCGGTTGTCGAGATATGAACATTCCAAAGTTTCCATGGTAAGTAAGACAGCAGCAAAGATTACGAATGTGTCTACGATGATCTATTCCTGGAAATTATACGTTCGTATTACGTTCTTCCAGGAATCGTGATATTTGTTGGGATAGGAAAAGGTGAAAGGAAGTACGAGCAAGAGATCCAGATCAATAACAAGGACGAAGATGGTAAACGATTAAAAATTACCTTTTTCTTTGCACGACGATATCTCAGGAACCGGAAGTCGTATCGAGATAAATCAAAAAAGATTTTAAAGAGGAAGGTTCCGCGCTTCTAACGATCGCCCACTCGTTGTTCGAGAGTTACTATCTTCGGAGTTACAGCGAGTTCAAATTTTTCGTAATTTTGATTGAGAATTTTAATTGAGTTTTAGGATTAATTTACGTGGCGATTGTATTTAAGGATAATTTAATCCACGAATATGTTAAAAAAGATACGCATTTTCATAAGAATTCGTTATGCGCGTATGAGAATATATTTTTATTTCCGTGACTGAGTAAAGAATAATGAATATTTCAAAGATAACGTTCTGTCATTAACCTCTTACGTGACTGGTTCGCAACTATCGCGTTACAAAAAAAAAGGAGGGGAATAATTAGAAGAAAAAAAGTAGATGAAGACGAGTTACGTGCTCCTTTTTTTAAAGGAAATACAATTTTCAATTATACCGTAATTCATAATTGAATTCGAATTTAATCTTTATCTCTCTTTCATTATTTTTCATTATTTCTTCTCTCAGATGATTTTTCACATTCTGTCAAGGATCTTAAATCTAAGATATATAACGTAAATGTACATGCAATACTTTCCTTTAAAACTCTTTCGCTAGATATATTTCCATTATAAACGACTATAAGCGCTAATAAAATCTCCCGCGAGAGAAGTTCGAACAAGAGAGTGAAATAATCGGTGAAGTTAAAAGTTTCAATTACAAGTGGAGGATCCTCGAAGGCCTCGAGTTGCATTTATAGTTCGGTAAAACCTAGACACGGTGTCAGATCCAAATGGGTTTTTCACGAGATATCGTGATGAAAATTCATAGGGGTGCAGGGTGGAATCTGCGTTACACGTCTGGGACGCGATGCAAAACGCGTGACGTGCGAAACGATGCTGGGAGCAAAAAGGGTTAAAGAAGGAACGTGACTTTTTTCCTTTGTGCAGGTTGCACGGGTATCGCGCAAGAATGCGCTTTAAAATTCAAATTCCCGTGAACCTGTCGCGAGCCTGTCCCCAGGAAAAACTAAAAGGAACTGTCGCGTTGCAAATAATGGAAAATAATATACCGTTTTACCTTCGCGAGGCTCCTTATCGCGAAAGCGTAATAAAAAGCATTATACTATCGTTTAAAAGTTTAGAATCACTTCTTTTAACATCCACGCCTCGTAAACGGCGAAGATATAAAAAATTTTTTAACTCGCTTTAACATTTATTTCCTTTATCCTTTAACATTTTATCGATATTCTCTACACACATACACCGTGTGAATTGTTGAGTCGTTATCGGGAATGTTTTCAGAAAATTGGACCGAACACCGATGAAATTATCTTTCTGAGATTGCTTTTGCGAAAAGTAGAACGTTATATCGTTCGAACGAAATATCGTTTTCTTCTTTCCATTCTTATTTTCGAATAATTTCAAATAATAAATATGATAATGGATAAATGTTATTTCAACAAATATTTGTAAGTAAAACAAATCATTCGTAGTCATTAACAATTTAAATCGACAAAAGATTCGCTTCATTTCGTTTTAATTATTATTAAAGGTATATAATCTTCTTCGCTTTCTTCGCTCTTAGAAAAGAAGAAAAGGAGAAGAAGAAGGATTTTCTAAGGAAGAGAGAAGAAACATCGTAACGTAATCAACGATGCAGAAGAAGATAGGTTCCTCGGGAAGGCAATAATGAAGGTTGGCTTTAATTGAATCCTTCCCAGGAAGTCCATAGAAGGCGTTAAACAAACTATCGGCATTCTAGCCACGTGGGAGTACGCGTTCGATGCTGGATCCACAATAAATCCTTTTCTTTCCTCGCGCAACCCACCCTTCCATCTTCCACCTTCCTCCATCTTTCTCTCCTCGAGCTTTTTTGTTTTGCCTTGCCAGCCTGTATCCGGTTGAGCTGCGACTGCCGGTTTCCGGTCTGAAATTTCCGGCTTTGCTTAAGAGCTAATAGCACAGCCAGGCGAGCTACGTTTTCCCTCCCCTACAACTGATCTATCTATCTATCCTTTCGATTCCTTGACGGATAATCGTTCTCCCGGCGCAATTAATCCCATCTTCGATCCACGAATTTCTGGGGAGGAGGGGGGAGAGGAAAAATCACCGACATTCGTCTCGTAAGAATTTTTAAGAATTGGATGTGACGGGTCGAAGAGATTTTTGAAAAAGGCGAAGCTCTAAAGTTGAAGAATGATCTCTTGACGATGGAATAAAATTGTCGAAGAGAACGAAATTCTGATTTGTATTGATTCTTAATTCGTTCAAATTTTTTTTTTTTTATTCTAAAACATGAAAAATATCGTTTTTTCGAAAATGTAGAAAGAAACTATCGAGGATAATTTAAACTCGTTTAAGAATTGAAACAAATTTTCTTTTACGATCGCGGTAGTTAATGGCTTCAAAAGTGCGGCGCGGCTAAGAGAAAACTTGTGTTTTCTTGAATCAAACTTTAAATTTTGATTCAAGACGAACAATTAAACTTTAAGTAAACTGAAGAAGTTGAGAAGCATTAAACAATAATTTCATCGAATAATCCTTTTATTCGAATAGAAGAATTCCCCTTCTAAATGAAACGTCCTGAATATCGTAATCCTGCCTGGATTAATTTCGAAACAACAGAATACAATAGTAATTGATACACTATCTCCCCCTTCGATATTATCGAAATCATCGAAATTATCGAACGCGATAGACATCTCGCGTTCAAGGACGTGAGAGACAAGGAGGAAGCCGAGGAGGAGGCAAAAGTGGATGGAGGCCAAGTTCGTTTGAATATTCGAACGCAACGGCGTCGATCAATAAATAGACGCAATTCCTAGAGAGGTATTCCTGCGGGAATTCCCTTCCAATCCAATCCTTCCTATCCATTACCGATTTCTATTCAAAACCACGTTCGACGAAACCCCCCTCCCCATCTCGCAACCGAAATGCACACGTGGCTCTTGTGTACCTGTCATTAGTGAATGCTAATGTCATTGTCACGTTCGACGTTGATCCCCGCCTACGGACAAATCTCGCCTTCCACCGCGAAACGATACCGAATCCCGATACCGTGTAATTTAATCATTCGCTAGATTCGTGGCAACGTGTAATTAACCTTCAAATAATATTATTGGGTCACGAGCGGGGTTCCAACTGATCGCGTTTGATACCGAGTTCTATATTTAAAAGCGGTGAGAATCGGTCTGATTGGTTCTCGTCTTCGCGCGCGAAATATGGAGATCGATATAATTAAGCCTTGGCTTAATGTTAAATGTTTATTTTTTATTTCTAATTTTTAGGAAAACAATATCTTTTCTTTTCTTTTTTTTTTTTTCCACCATGGCATCGTATCGATTGAATAGGTTATATAGTAGCCACGCTCGATAAAAGTACGATAAATACATATGAGGATTAAGAAAAAAAAAAAAAACAGGAAATATCATAATTTTGATTAATGAGATTACGGACATTAATCACATTCGGTGTGACCAAAAATTTATTCCAAATTTGCTCACCGTTTCCTAGACTAAAATAATATCCCTCGAGAAGAGTAAGTGACGAATAAGTAAAATTGACGAATTAAAAAGTAACTTTACACGAATATTAATCACACTATGAAAACGTCTGTGTATTCCACACGATAAATCGTATATACCTCCGAGGTATCTCAAGTTCCTCGAGATCACCCCTTTTTTGCACCAATCGACGCGAAAATAAAATATATATATATTTAAAAAAAAAAAAAACGCAAGGAAAACTCTTCGTTCGTTAAAAATCAGAAAAGAAGAGATCGTAATTTCACGACAAATATTACGTCCAACCACCTTCCACCCCAATCAGCCCAGTTGCCCTAATCGATCCTCAGGAGCGGCCCTGTTGCCCAGCTTTCTTCCTCCCCCTCCCGATCAAGAGTCGTTCGTCCTGCAAACACGCCGAGACGAGGACAAATAGCATTTGCGAGGAGCCTCCATCTTCCTCGAGGATCTTCGATTCCGCTGATTCTTTTCCCGACCGGTGATCACAGCCCCGATATCACAGTCCTCCTCGTCGTGCCTCGCCGGCGTATCGTGCCACCGATCCACCTCGTCCGTTCTCGTGAATCTCTCGATGGTGGCCGGTTTCCAGTTCTGTTTCGTCACAAAGTGATCCAACGGATCGAGATACTCGATCTCTTGCTTCGTCTCCACGGTCTCCAAATGGGACTCGCTCTCCTCCTTCGCGAAATCGAATAGGCCGGCCATGTCCAACGTCACGTTCGTGTACGAGTCCAACAGATTCAGCTGCATCGAGTTGAGGACAACCTCGCCGGGTGGATACCTGTCCCCGTAACAATTTCGTAGGCATTCCTCGAACGTTCTGAATCGGAACGAGCTGTAATTCCAGGTGATGTCGACCACGGGTAGGACTTGGTCGGTTCTCACGAACGTGGACGAGTGTTCCGCGATGTCGCTCTCGTTCGAATCCCTCTTTTCTACCTCGAAAGGGATCGAGGTTAGAGCGTGGTTCTGTATCAGATTCGGGGAGGATGAAACGGTTCTCAGGTTGGTCAACAATATCTTGGAATTGGAGCTGGCGACGTTGAATGCCGTCCGGTCTTTGGGATACTGTTGCAGCATCTTGTCGGCCTCTTCGGACGGGGTGCTGGTGGCGTAGTAGTGGAAGATCGTGCACAGCTTCTTTGGATCTGCCTGCACAAGTTTATTCTGATAAATACACGCGTAGAATTTATTTGTCACGTTTTATATACGTCCCCAATGTTTGTTCGTTTCGTTATTCGAGGAAAATAGTACGTGTTCATGATTATAAAGCATGATTATAATAGAGAAAATTAACGAATTGTTGCGAGAATTTTAAATATATATAAATTTTGCTGTTGGACAAATTGTCGTGGAAAATCCCTAAGTCGTTTCAAAATTCGTGACAACGACGAGCAAAAGGAAAAACGCGAAAGGAAAGCGTAATAATAACCTCAAAAAGGATATTCGAACTACGAATCACACTTTCCTGGGAAATTAGAAAGAAGGAATACCGTATATACTGCGTGAGTTACGTACGATTAACATTTGGAGTTGAATGATGAGGGGAAATATGAGGATTACAGTGGCGAGGAGGGCGCAGATGCTTTCCATGATGAAGCTGACAAATCTTCCGTTTCTCTATGAAAATCCTAAGATCTCGACCGGTTTCTCAAACCGGGACGTCTTCATCGCTTCACAGCTTTCAACGTCGATGGAATTCATTGTTAGTTGTGCACTTTTTTTTTCCTTTTTTTTTTTCTATTAATTATACAAAAATCCGTGGAACACCTGGTGCCATCGGACACCACGCGATACGAGATCGATTTTTTACAACGCGATACGAGACGAGAAAAAACCGTCATTTGTTTATGGAAATCTCGTTCGAATCGAGAACGAAGAATTTTGTAACCTCTCCGGACGTTTCGTTGACGTTTGTGAATTTAATACGGTACGTATATGGTGGAGTATCGTACGTTTTACGTTAAAAAATAAATCGATAATCGAATGAACGTTTGGAAAGAGAGGAGCAAGAAGAAAAAAAAAGGGGAATATATTATAACGCGAGGAAGAACGGTGGACGGTAATAATTTTGATGAAAACACAGAATAAATAGCAACGATGTTCTGATAATATTGAAAAACGGTGATCACGGATGGATATCGGTGATTCACGAGGAAAAATTTCATTGCATTTCCATACGCGAGGGAAGAGAGGAATTTGTTTTTCTTTCTTTTTCCCCTCTCGCGTAGAATGTACTTGTACACTATGCTAATCTATGCCACGCTTTAATATCGCTTTGTGGGCTCCAACTTTGAAAAAACATTCCCCTCGTTCGTTCGTGAAAAACAGTCGAATATTGCGATTTCAGTAAGTATAAAGACATTTCAAAGTCTTTTGAAATTTCACCTTTACACCTCGTTCTCAATCTTTTCGAATCGATGTATTTTGTTTCATGACCCTATGCACGGACAATTATACTGTATAATTCCAACGTAACACAACATAAATCTCATCGACATCAATTTCACCACATCCCCTCGTTTCATTTCCTTTATTCATTTCCCCTATTTATTGCACGGTTATTCCTATTTCCATACACGTAGAATAAACAGAAGCGTTAAGCGTCAATCAGAGTGGAGTAATTTGAAGCGGTCCTCGCAGAGGATGGTGGAATCTCGGTGGCGCGTCAACCTCGAGCCCAGCCCATAATAGGATGCAATTTAGAAACGGTCGAAACAGACAATACCGCGTCCTTCGAAGCGTAAATCATCCACCACGGCGCAGGAACGAGGGTTGGCCGGGATTGGAGAACGGGTTAAAATGGAGGGTGGAGAGTGCATATCTTAATTACAATATTCCCACGAGCTGAGCACAGGAGTCTTGCCCGGTTGGCCGACCAACTTGGCCTTTCCGACCAGCCTCTAGGAATTTAATTAATTTGCCAGTGGCAAGCAGCCTTGCTCCTTGTCGCCGTTCTGAAATATTGTATCCTTCCCACCCTTTAAAACCCACCACCCCTCGAGTGCCTACGTGCCATCGCTTTTGCCTCACCTTTCTGTCTCTGTTTATTCTGTCCTCTCCCTCCTTCTCTCTTTCTCTCTTCCCTTTTTCTCTCTTCTCTTGCCCCAACCACTTGGAGCCGAGCTCGTGTTCTTGCAACGCAACACGAGCACCCCTTAATTGTTCGGATATCATTGAATTTTATCCGGATATCGACGCGAGAAACTGGCGACGTGATACGAGACCTCCTTGGTTTCTCCTTGGAATTGGATATCTGCGAAACATTTTGTTTTTTTTTATCATTGCTTTGATTTCTTTGTTATTTTTGTGTATGTGTGTGTGCGTGTGTGTGTGTGAGACTTTTGTTTCTTTTTCATGATGGATGGAAAGAAAATTTAAAGAAAAAAATCTTTTTAAAATAAACGAAAAATCTTAATTTTTTCTTCTGAAAATGCCATACGTTTCTGTAAACAATAATTGAGATCTAGATTATGATGCACATAATATACATATAATACACATTATGATATTTGATGAAACGAATCTATTTATATAAACTCTACAAATTTCCATTTAGAATCGAATATTATTTAATTTTTTTTTTATTAATTTCTTCCACAATTTTCTTTTTTTTTTTTGTAAAATTCAAATAAATTCTTACAAAGATCATCAAAAATTTTAATAATCCTTAAATGTCTTTAAAATTCGCTGAAAAAAAGAAAATGATTAATAAGCTTTCTTAACTGTTCCGTTAAAAAAGTTTATTCGGATAGCAGATAACGGGAAATTAAATAGGAATTCTATTTCATGTATAAAACGTGTAGAATGAAACGTTGTTAAACATTGTTCCTTTAGAATTAATATTACGTGAGAACCGAGTATAAGTCCACTGGTACTCAAGTGCTTTTTCTTTATTCAATCTAAACGTATCACCGGATCTATATCATCCAAATAATTATCATCCCTATTTTTGATCGTCTATATATATCATTATGATTTTAAAATTATTATATTCTTTCCATTATTTTTAACAAACTTAAACTATCATTGATTAAAAAAATAAAAATTTAATTTTGACGTTCGTAATTAATTAACGATTACTTCGAAATTATTATTTAAAATCAATGAAAAGATAAAAATTCATTTCAATTTCGATTATCGAACTGAATTTGAAATTTACTTTGAAAATGGAAATCAATGAAATTTATGAAAGTAAATTTTTAATTGAAATAGAATTGCTAGTCCGATTTAAATATTTTTAATGAAAAATATATAAAATTTAGGCCTATAGGAATTTTAAAATATTAATTAGAATTTTTTTAAAAAATATTCTATCTCTTCGATAAAATTCCAAAATCAAATACACGTATCCCAAAGGCATTAGTGAATCAATCGGTTGCTCGCTAATTAATAAATTTCCAGCGAATTTTTTTTTTTCTTCGATTTGGATTGTGCATCTCTTGTTCGATATTCACCTATAACAACAGTGTATAACAAGTTCCGTGGCGTATTACGAAATAATTAATATCTCGAAAATGAAGTTACGCACCTATTAATAAATGAACTCTTATAGGAGAAATTCTTTCGATTTTACAACTAAATTCGCATAAATGCGTACGATTTAAAAATATCAAAAAACTCTTTTTACATTTCAAATATTATTTACTTAATTTAAGGTGTTATTTACGCAAATGAATTAACTAAACTTTATATACGATGTAACTTCAGCTTTTGAAGCTTTGAAAATTCGAGTTTTATTCACAACCAGTAATCATAATTCTATCAATTCTTCATTCCTGAGAGAATAGAGTAAACGAAAGACACGGAAAATAAAAGGATATCGAAAAGACCGATTAATTTCTCGGTTAATGCATCGATCATCGTTACGTCAATTTCAGATTATCTTGAGAAGACAAAACTTTCTTTCTTTTTCTACGAGATGGCCAAAACAGAATTCGAGAAAAAACAAGTCATTTAGTCGGGGTTCGAAAAAACTGGAGGTCCTGAAAGGGCTTAATCGAAGAAAGAATAGATCCGTGGATGGGCGAGAAACGACGAAAGATGGATGAAGAAAAAACGGCAACGAGCGAGGACGAAGGTGGCCATCCGCCTCATCTGCCGTTGAAAAGGTGAAAATCTTGATTTGAGTGAGCGCTTTAGATCGGGCGCGGTCCGGAAAACTCGTAAAAAAGCACCAAGAGAACGGGAGAAAATCCTTTGGCAAAGCCATTAACGATGATTTCTCCTAAGCCATCGAATCCCTCTTTCTTCCGTCAGTGTCTTCCAGTGTCAACTCCATTCCTCCAGGACTGGTCAAAGCGGCACCATTGACGTGTCGTGAAAAAGAAAGAGAGAATGGAAGAAAAAAATGAAGAGGACTGGGATGGAGAATGACGAAACTACTGACAACGAAGTAACGAAATAAGGGACTATGAAAGAAATGCAAAAGAAAAGATTAAAATATAGAAAAGAAGTGTTTCTATCAAGTGCTTCATTATCAATCGAGTTGATAAATGAAATGTATGTAATTGTATGTATGGAAAATTTACATCATCGTTTATTGATTTATTTAACATATATATTACGTATATTTAATATTCGATGAAAATTACGATTTAAGCGATAAGTCGATTCTATATCAGGAACAGTCTTGTAATTGTATCATAAACAAGGTATCAGAAACATCTAATATTTAATGAGACGATGATTGCAGAAATTATATTTAATTCAATCAAAAAAATTGTTAAAATTGACAAATTTTAATAGACAGATTCATATTGATCAAGTTGAATTATTTACAAATTAAAAATTATATTCGTACTATAGCATAATGAAAATATTATCAATTTATGAGATTTTTTTATAAAATTGAATTTAAATATTTTAAATAAATAGACTATGTTAAGATTTTTAATTATAAATTAATAATTAATAATAGATTAAATAATAAGATATAATGCAAGACAATAAAATTAATCAAATATCAAAAGCGTATTTTGAGTGTATAAATTTTGAAGAATATATTTTGAAATATAAACAAAGAAAGCAAATAACAAGGAGAAAAGAAATAAAGTAGAAATAAAATAAAAATATTAAAATCAGCATCATCTTCAAAATGTCATAAATGAAATACATAGAAATATAAAGAAATTAGTGGAAAAAAAAAAAAGATAAAATAAGAATTGAAGATCAGCGCCATCTCTCGATTATTTTCAGAAGATTTTTAACATTGAACAGATAAGATATCAATTAAATATTGTTTCATTATATCTTTTTTAAAATTATAATATGTCTATATCTTATTCTAAATCAGATTAGTAATATTGAGAATAACATTAAAAATGTAAAGATAAAAAATATATTAAATGTTAAATCTATTCTGAACTTCATCTCACTTATTATTGTCTTCCGATAACAATTCAATGTTCTAATCTTCTCCTATGAAATACTTATTTTATCAATATTTTTGTAAATAAAAGATTCTAGCTCCCAATGTTTAACAAGGAAACATAACAAAAATTATCAATTATAACTTAATAATAATATGTAACACAATAACTTAATGTTAATTGACAATTTCGAGACGAAATATCTTTGTATTATAGAATCTATAAAAATCTTTTTTCATTTTTTTTTAATTATTCCGATCGTTTTATAATAATTGTATCAAGGCTAGGAATAAAAGTATTGAAACAAGAACTTCGAAATATATTTTCGAATGGAATCTAAATATATATATATATATATATATATATATATATATATATATATATATATATATAT